TTCTGTTTGGACAATTACTACTACTATGAATGATGGATTCTCTTTCATGTTTATGATCAATGTCATGTTTGTATGCGTCATAGGCGGCTCAGTGGAAACAAACTTACAGGGAAGATACCAAAGGAACTAACCCAACTTGGCAATCTAAAGAGCTTGTAAGATCATGGCCTCCCGCATATTTATCCGAAAACTGGGTATTTACATTATTTGTGTGTTTTATGTATCGTGAACTCGATATCTACAGGGATTTATCACATAACAACTTATGTGGAACCATTCCAACTTCAGGCTCTTTCTCCAAGCTCTCATTGAAGAGGTACAAGGATTATATGCTTCATCTTAACCTGGTGACTCGACTTTCCAGAAATCTGTTTTAATGGAAATCATCTATCTTCATTTAATGTTTTAAGGATAAAATTCATCCAAAATTGAGTAGATATTCAAACATCCAATAGAAAAGGCAGAATTTTGGCAAAGTCGAATTCGACATATCTGCAGTTGAAACTTCTGTGACACAATAAATTGCAGTCTCTCTGGAACCAAAGCCGAGAAATTTCTTCTTTTTATTCTTGGCTTCAAATATATTAGCTGCAATTTTCAAATTCCTGTTATAGTTTCATTTTGTATCCTCGGTCATATGGTTACGCAACCTTTTCTTTATGGTTTTTCAGCTTTGAGAACAACCCGAGACTGCAAGGACCAGAGCTGATGGGATCAGTGGGTTATGACATGGGATGCAACTGAAACTAAAATGAGATGCAACCCGATCACATTGTATTTACAAATTATTGTGTATGGTTTGGGGTGTTTTATCTGTATAAGGGTATATCATTTGGCAGTCTTTGAATTATAACAATTCATGGTTTGGTGAGTTTGGCTTCCTTTGCTGTTGAAATATATAAAATAGAGGAGGTTACGAGTTGCACATTGTAGTCTCTTAACTCTTTCTTTGGATAGTTCAGTGGTCGGAATCGAACTTGAGATGTCGCATTGTTAATGTCAACTGCCTTAACTGAACTAGTTAACGGCTCATCTCATAAATTTGGAAGAGCGAACTTCCTAAAGCTCAATGCCATTGAACTGTATATGTCTCCTTTTTTTTGGCACTTCAGCTCATATCAGCAATGTGTAAAAGCCTATACCAAAAAGTTGCTATTGATTTGGTTTTTGGTCCAATAAAACCTAGCCAAAAATGGAGGAAAAAGAAGATACAGTGCCAAAATATCATTTCAAAACAGGTATTTAGTTCAGATTTGACCGAAGCAAACAAGGTTAACAAAACAAATGTACGAGTGTTTGCATGGGTAGGGGGAAAACCAGTTATACAAATTATAAACTCCTCAGAGAAACAGAGAATTTCAAATTATCAATTCACAATGTAAGCAACATTAATAGCCAATATCACAATGAGCGATGACTAGTTTGACAAAAACAAAAAAATAAAACAAATGTAAGGCAATTTCTAAAACTCCCTTTTAACAGTTTATTTAAAAAATGATAAACTATGAGTAATTCTTCACCTTCTTCAAGAAAATGAATTTTTTAATGTTATCTTAGAAAGATAATGCTTTTTTAAGTAATAATTCTTGAAGTTAAAAAAAAATTGCGTTTGTAACAATATTCAGTGCAAATATTATTACACCATCTCATGGTAAAACACACACACACTCTCTCTCTCTC